CCAGAAACCCCCCAACACCGAGCCCTGCAACAACCACACCTGCCCTCCGGAGTGGCTGGCTCTCGACTGGTCCGAGGTACGCGTGGGTCCGGGGCACGCCCGGGCCCACAGTATGCACAGATCCCAGCTGTAGTAGCCTAGAAAATCAGCATCTCTCTCGTATTCCCAGACTAATAGTGATCCACAATGAACAGTGTTGCTCAATTCATCAATTAACTCAGTAAACCTTTCGATTACTATTGAGCAAAATACTCAAGTATGATGCACTTTGGATATGTAGGTTATTAGTTATTTAGATCCAGATTTTTTTAGGTTTAATGAACTTTGGGGATAAATCAGGTTTACCTTCTCCTGTAAAGCCAGAAGGTATGCTCGTTTGGCAGGTAATGTTCATAAGTTTAAACTGAAAGGAAAGTTCATTATTGCGCCCCATTATTGAACACTTGCGCCCCCTGTTGGCCTGATTATGTAGTGTTCCATCGCAGCAAGTTGATCTCAGAGCCACACATAGGAAAGGCAGTAATGAAGTGAATCCAGGCGGAGTTAAAGGCGTTGGTGTTCATCTCTGAATGGCCCATTCCACCAGTATTCAAAGTGTTTATTTAAGAGTCGATTGGTAAATTAATAACAGAACATGAATATTGGGTAAATTGTAATTATTGTTGTAACTGGTTGCATTTTGTTTTGTGTACTTCAAACTAGCAAAAACAATAGGATCAAGCAACTCGAAGAAGTTGTGTTTCTTTTCCTCCCTTTTCAGCAGGAATAAACCTTTACTTGTTCCTTTGCAGCCTACGCATGCTGACCCAGCTACCTTCTTGAACTACTTTAGCAAAAATAATATCAGTTACATCGATATTTTAGAATGACAAGGGTGCAGCACAGTAACAGGTTTTCCATTCTTTGGCAGTGAAAACTGGCTCTAAAAGCTTTGTTTTTCTTGGTCAGACCTAAAGTTCACACACTGCCCAGCCTGAATGTTTCACCGAGGGGCCGTGGGACCTCACTCACTCATGACCTCTCCTCCAATTCGGAGTCCATCCCCTCTTTGCGGAGGTGCTGGAAAAGGCCTGCTCCAGCTGGCTCGGCTTCCGGATCTCCTGTGAGCCGTCTTTAATGAAAGACTTGGGGGGATTTTGATTTCTTGGAGTTTTTGAGAACAGCTGACCAGAACATGGGATTCCTGTTTGGATGACACCCCAGCCCGGTGACTGACGCTCATGATCCTGGGTCAGAAATGCCCATACCTGACGCACAGCCGTTGTTTCACGTCTGTAATTAGCTATGATGACCACAGGATCTTGAGTAACTATCTGTGCGCAAGTTCAGTCTCGACATTCGAGAGGGTTCAGGGCAGAGAATCAAATTTGTAAATATCAAGTCCACCCCTATACCACCGCATGATGTGCTGTAGTATATAGGAAGTATGGTTTATTAAAACACTGAAGTAACGCTTTCTTGTATGATAATTAGTGTACTAATTGGCATTGGCATTAAGTTAATTTAATTAATATTAACTAACTAAAACAAACAGCAGTAATCACAAACATGTAGCGGTCAGTGGAAATAAACAACATGAATCCCTCCTCTCCATCCAGCGGGTGCCTGCTCTTTCTCTGCCTTACCTGCTAATTCCTGCTCCTTGATCAGCAGACCTCACTGTAATGAAACGGCCAATAAAACCGTCAGGCAGCCTGGCATTCCCCACACTGCTGACACAGAACCTGCAGCGTTCGGTACATTATGAAAAACAAGAGCGCGCTGAGATTAGTGGGCTAGTGGGCTCCTGGCAGGGGGCAGGGAGAGGTCTCCTCACTAGCTACAGTAGGTCGGTCTCATGATCCCAGCCTGATGCACTGCTCATCTGAAAGCTGCAGTTACCACCCTTCAGCTCGGTTTCGTTCACTGCTGCTCCTCTTCCCTACGCGCGCTGTACCCCGTGGGCCTGACCCCATCGTGAAGGTTGACCCTGCTCTGGCCCCTTGGTTCGCCGCGGGGGCCC